TAAAATACTTATACAGTAACCACATAATTAGCACTTTTAAATAAAAAATAAAAAATTAATATCTTTTTTATCTTAATTATATAATAAAAAAATTATTTTTATCTTTTATTTTACTTCACTCACATACCATACAATATTTTTTTTAAATAACAATTAAATTATTTAAACTATTAACATAAAATTAATATCTTTATTTATTCTTTTTCTTTACTCACGTACAACGTGGACTGACTGGAACGCACGTGTCCTGGGTGCCAATTGGTGGACTTGGCCGGGCTGCGAGGGCAGCTGTGGTGGGCCCCGGAGACGGGAATCTAGGAATTTGTGCCATCCAGATTACGCGTCAAGTGGGATCCAGATACGATGATGATGGTTTTTTCCTTTTTTTTTTTTGGTAAAATGGTTTTTTCCTTACTGTTACTGTGAGTGCTATTCAAATAATTTGTTTATTTTATTTTTTTATACAAATTTCATGTGTTATTAAATAAATGAATATATTTGATATTATAAATTTTATATAAATTAAAAAAATTAATTATTTCAATGATATATTAAATTATATAAAAAAATAAAAAAATTATATAAATATCATTTCTTTTTCTTTACCGAAGATTTGTGGGGCCTACGTCTACTCAGCTCCAGGTTTGGGATTCAATTGTTTTTCATTTTTCTTCCAGAAGTATGGGCCCTACGGATACTTGACTTGTAGTTAGTTGGGCTGTTAGGGAAAGACAGACCCATGGCTCCTGTTTGGTGTGTGTGCCCTCTGGAGAAAATCATTAAGTGCCCACCCACTCCCCCTCTGCCCCATCTGCCTCAAATATAATTCTAGAATTTAATTTTAAAAAAGAGAAAAAATAAAGGCCAAAGCTCCTTATTTTACCCCTAGACTTTTTTTTTTTCTTATGATTAATATCTTAAATTAATTTTTCTCTCAGTGAACACCTTTTATAATTTGAAATCCATAGAAAACCCCAAATCACTAGTAAAGTAAAGGTGCAAATAAGGAGTTTGACTACTAATTTTCTAAGCAAATAGGGAGTTTGATCGTTAATTTTTGTTTTTTTGTAGGTTTCAAATTATGAAGAGTGTTGATTAAGAGAAAAATTAGTTTATAATATTAACCGTAGAAAGAAAAAAATGTTTAGGGTGTAAATATAGGATTTGACCAAAAATAAAAACCAACTTAATTTTTATCAATCATTTAATTGAACACTAATATTATAATTATCATATTACATAAAATTATAAAATTATAATTTTATATAGTATTTAATAAAATATAACGTGAAATTAAATGAATAGATACATATAATATTATAGATAAATATAAATACAAAAATTAATTATATAATAATATATAATAT